TAATGAGAACTGACACTCTCCGCCCCTCCCTAGCTTTAGATACCGCACCACGCCCCGCATATTGACGGTCACATAGACTGAACGGCGACAAGGCTGTCGGCGAGCCGTTTTCTAAGCGCTAAGACGGCTTTCTTAATTGAATATAGTTTTCATTTATTCATTACGAAACTTATACGTGGATTATAACATCATAGTACGTTGCTATTTACAATGGTCGTGAGTTGTGCTATGTGCGGCTGTTTATCATCATCTAAACAGGATAAAGAGAGGAGTTTTTTCGTTATCCGAAAGATGGAACGAAGTAGGCTGTTATTGCTTTCTTTGTGCGGAGTATATATATAATACAGATTTATTATATCAATATAATGAAACGCCATGACTTCGTGAGCTAGTAGACAAGGGTTCCCGAATTTTCTTTTAGCATTGCCTATAAATATTCCGTAGTGAATATATCTAATTATTAAATAGGTAATGATAAACTTGGACACGCAATTTCAAATACCTTGATTACCTTTTAACCTGTCCAAAATATACATTTTCAAATCTTCAATATTATTCTAGTTAGTGAATTAATTAAAAATATAATATTACATCGATATAAATACCTAATGAACATGTGTAGTTATTAGGATTCTGTTAATAGAATTATGGATAAAAGATTCGCGTTAAAATTTTCGCCATGTTGCCGCCCTGACCATGTAACGCAATAGTACGAGAAAGTGATGATGAGTAACCCTTTTTTTTTTTCTTTTTTTTTTTGACGGGGGGGAAATCTTTATGGATACCCCTGAGCCCAGGGAGACTCAGGGGTTATGTGGGGACTCTCCCTCCAGACTGGAGGGCCTACCCCACTAAAACCCCCCCGGGTTTCCCTCTCGCCGGTTGAGTCGGCGCCGTGGGATCAGTGAACATTCACCACGACGATGATGAGTAACCCTGCCATTTTACGCACACATTTGCGCGTGTGCAGATAGCGCCTTGATGTATGTAGGTAAATAACTTGCGACCGTCGTATAGAGTGTTCGGGGTGTGCTTGTAGTTATATCATAGTCTCGAAAATAAAGTGACATTCGACAAATATCTTTTTTTTGAAAAATCATGACCGTCACACCAGACACGAATGTCATTTGCCTGGTGTCAAATAGGATAAAATTTGTTTGATTTGAACACAACATACATGTTTTATTTCGGGAGTAATATTTTTTTAATTTCTTTTGTTTTTCAAAAATGGTTACTTATTTTAAAGAATTCACCTTATGTGATAATTTTGCAATTTATCCTTCCTTTTATTTGTAATACACCTAATTAGCTAATAATATTATTGTATTGTATATAATGTATAAAATATATAATAATATTATTTAAATACTTATAACTGAAATGTAATAGGGAAATATTTAGTTACGTAATTAATAAAGAATAGAAAACATTCATTATGTGATCACAACACAAAAATACATTGAAAGAAAGACTAAAAGTAAAATAAAAAGAAAAAACACAACGAAACAGATATAAAATTACAAATAATCATGTCATTATCATCAGAGGTGACAAAGTAAGGTAGTGTTCTCACCAATAGTCTGTTGTTCCAGTTGCGAACGCGATTTGGACAGCTGAGAGTGGAACTGCACCATCTCACCGCCGAGTAACGCTCCGAACTTGCCCAAGACCTCCTTGTGCCACGCGTCATACTTAAGCGCCACTTTGCTCTGTACTCTGGCGAAGTCTATCACCACAGGTCCATATTCGCGACGAGTGTCCGATGTGTCGAACGTTGTACGGGATTTTCTGGAATAAGGTTAGTATTTAGTAATGGAATTATTTTAGCACAAACTAATGTTTGCAATTAATTTTTTCCAGTACCATTAATGGTATTAAAAAGTCGCTTACTTGATGTCGTTGAGGCATTTGATCCACAGTGTGATGTCTTCACCGAGACGACCGTACAGGCTTTCAGGCTGAAGATCCCACAAGGCTTGGTAACTGTGATTAAATTATGACACGGTTATGAAGGAAGTCTTGAAAACATGTATGAATTGACTGAACTTAGTCACGTTTACAACTCGATATAAATGGAGGTTAACCTTGAAAGGGTTGTAACCCTAACTAGCCGTGAACAGGTTTACGGCAATGAAATGGGAAACTTCCGGTCCACAAAATTAATTAAAGAAGTTTAAAGAAAGGCTGTAACAATATAAAGGTAAATGTAAAAAAAACAGGTATAACAGTATAAAACACTCCCTACACTTTATTATTAAGGCACTTACCCCTAAATGGGAGAAACTGAATTACAGAAATAGATACATGAAGGGTGTAGACTCTGACTGCAGTGGCGGTCGAGCTGGGAGTGACCGTGGTACGAAATCAAAATGAGAAAGTGAAGGACGATGGAACAATTCAAATTTCAAATTTAAATACAAGTAAAATAAAAAAAATGATAAGATACAAGAGGAGAGAGGCGATACAAAGAGGTGAGATGACGGTGTAAGGAGGTCACACCGTCACAACCTGACCCATAATCACTATCTATTCCTTAAAATGTTAATACAAGATTTACCGCAGCCACTCATCGACGTATTCGCGAACTTGTGAAATTTTGTGCTCAATGGCGTCGTAGGCGTTTTCTAGAGGTGCTGATCCGGCAGGGAGCTTAGTCAGCAAGTTTCTGTAGGTCGCTGTTTGCGCACGCGCAACGCCCACTTGGTATCTGTAAAAAAAGACAATAATTACGAAATAGTAATTTTTGGTACTTTTTGAGTCACCAGGGTTTATGTGTAAAAGAAATGTAACGCAGCACAGATCATTTACTGGAAAAGAATTTAGAGCAGACTTATTTTTTGGCGTAGTAATATATCGGCATCAACGTCGTTTAGAATAACAGTTGGACTACAAGCATGTTCGGACTTGTACCAATAACTCGGGAGCACTGCGAATTGCGATACAATACAGCGTTACGCTGCAGCGTAGTCAGGTATTTAGTTTCTATTGGTAAACCAGATGTCGCGACGAGTACCAAATAGCTATTTTTGTATCATCCTAATTCTTTCTACGACTTTTCGTACCATAACGCGCTTAGAGTAAGCTTATTGTAATGTTAAAACTATGATGTTTTATTGGCAGCTTTGTGACTATTCATTCACTCTGTTCGTACTATGACGAGACTTAAACATGAAAGTCATATAGCTCTTATGTCAAATTTAGCAATCTTAAAATAGTTATATGGATGCAATGGAAACAATATTATTGTCAGTTTTATTGTTTTAATATTGATTTGTAACGATTAAAAGGTAAGTTGAACTTATTTATTTACTTATATCTCTTCAATATTTTGTTTATTTTTCATTTAATAGCACATAGGAAATGAGTTCTCGTTAAATAAAAATACTCGACGTTTATTTCGTAAAATTATGACAGCGCCATCTATATGCTCCTTGGCGAAACTGACAGTTGACACTAGACTACGGTTCCGAATTCACAACGCGACACTTAAGACTCAGCTTGTTTTATTTATTTTTCTTCATGAAAATGCGGAAGAACAATTGAAAACAACGTAATTTTAATAGATTTCATTATTACATAGTTTTATTTTTATTTACATTCAGAGAATATTAGCAGTCAGTATTCTCTGAATGTAAATAATATTAAGTACTTTAGCATTATACTATGATAGGATGAATCGGAACATCAAAAAAGTAAGAGGTGGCATTATACAGTTCATATAGCGTCATTTCTTTCTTATTTTTAGTACGGAATAGACAATATTGGGAAATCATTCATTCTTTCAGTCACTTTAGCAATAATACATTACTTGATTGATAGATTTGTCATGGTACGAATATGCGTAATATTATAATAAGCTTACATTGAAATAAGGTTGTTTTTTGAAAGGTTATTGTAGGCCCCCTGTAGTATGTAGATTAGCATTCCTCTTGAGTTCGCGTTCGCGTGCTTATTTAAATAGGGACGACAAAATTAACCTTATAGACTTACCTAGTGCTCTGCAAGCGATGCTGGCTTGTCACAACGGCTTGCCAGGCGAACATTTGGCGCATGAGTTGGAAGCGGGCTTCTTCCAAAGACGGGAAGAGATACATCTGCTGGTTCGTGATTCGCACTTCGTGGACTACGCGGGCGATCTATGGACGTAAAGTACCTATAATATAATCTGAAAGGAGTGTCCAATAAACACTTTTGGATACAAAAGAAATTCCAACTTGCCACGCATACAATCCATTAACAGCTTCTCTTACTTCATAGACATTGTTATAGTTAATTTTAAGTGTGATAAATAAATGGTTTTAATGGTAATTTTTTTGTAGCAAGGGTTCAATTTGTAGACTGATTCATTCTATATATAATAATAATATATGATTTTTCCAATTATCTTCCATCAAGTAGAAAATAATAGTAAATGATTGAACATTGACTTTAAGGCATGGGAGACAGGAGCCCGAACTAGGTAAATCCTGTGTTATGGCACTCCTGGCTCCTGGCGATAGGGGTATCGGCAATAGTACAGTCAGTAAACAAAAAGAAGGTTGTAATAAAATACGCAATATAAAGAAACAGGAGACAAATAAATTAAATATTAGTAAAATATTCAATAAACATTCAAAAATATTTAGTGTAAACATATTTAATATATCCTCCCTAGTTGCTGTTTGTTACCTGCGGGTCTCCACCAGGCTTGTGTGTCGGCTCAGCGGGTGAGTAGGTGTCCATGGAGAGATCCATTTCGTTGCTCTTGCCTTGAAGGGCTGCAGTCCACGCTTCGACTCCAGCTTGTAGACGGGCAGCGAGGCTTTTTTCCACCTACGAATAACACTTTCTTTTGTGTAGTCAAGGTTCGTATTTTTCGATATTACTATGACTATTTATGACTTGGACGACAATATTTAAAAAAAAAATGCGATTCATCGCTTATGAAACATATTTGGACGAAATTTCCACTTACAATAATCCCTATCTTTCCTTTCTACTTTTTAAAACATCGCGTCAATGACGAAACGAACAAACCTCTTCATCCAGACGTTGCACCCACAGACGTAAGTTGCTGTATTGACGCAATGAAAGGTCGTCAATGGCGCGCTGAAGACGGCTAAGGATATCTGCTAAACTCGGAGCTGAGTATGGGCACGTCTCCAGGGAGCGAACGTCGACAGAAATCTGTTCTTCGACAGCTAGCAGGTCTTCCACCTGTGTAGTATTTGAAATAAATGTTATAATCGCTTAGCTATTCGTTTTTCCAATATAAAACTTCTTAAGTTCATTAACAAAGGTAGCCAAAGTTAGCTGAGATTATTATACAAAACTATGATGGCACTATCAACATCAAATTCAGTATTACTATGGTTGAAGTTCTTTCTCTCCAGTCTTTAGTGTAGTTTAAGAAAACGTTTCTTCAGTGCACAAGAAAGTTCTTTTTTTAGTGCGTTGAGTTAGATTTGTAAATGAAAAAGGTTAAAACCATACTGACCTTTTCTTGGAATAGCAAGACGACTTCGCTCAACTTCTGCACGTAAGGGTCAAGTTTGTAGGACTCCCAGACGAGTGCCATTCCTTCTGACACTTGGTTGAGAACGTCACGGCGTAGGCCTGCTACTAATGGAATTATCGATGCTTTGTCGCGAATCTGGGTAGTAGAAAGACGATAAGATCAGATAAAAAAGTATTAAAATTTATAGTTTGTTTCAAATAATTTACAATTACAAAAATAGTGTGAAACATAAAAGGAGTCACGAAAGAGATAAATGGGTGGCCCTATTAATACCAAGGAGCAGCAATCTACATAGTTATTCCGACTCTATAATCAGCATAAAGCTATTTATCTAACAGCACTCTACCATAAGGAATCAGGGAAGTGATTATTTTGTAAAAAAAAAAAAATATTTTACTTTTCTTCCCTGTTTTATTACGTGTTTTACGTTAGACAATTCAGTGGTTTTTTAAAGATATTTGCAATGATGTAATGCAGTATAAAAATATAAGTTCTCACTTACGCTCTGTCATACTCAATTAAGCATTAGCACATAGGAAAAAAAGGCAGTACACAAATAGTATTAAGTAAAAAAATTAAAAAAAACATTGAAGGCAGTCTTTGAATCATGCAGCTTGAAATAAAACTACCTTTGTATGATTCCTATTATTTAGCTGCACAAATGAAACGCACCCGTGTTAGTGATACACTCCACAACTGTATAACTGAATTTGGTTATACATTCTAGTGTTAATTTTGTATTTTTATGTGGTACATAAGTATTAGTATATTTTGTGCTGTTACATATATGTAAAATTATGCGCGCAAGCTGTAGATCTGTTTCAAAGTTTTCCAATTATTCAGGAACATTATTACAAGCTGATAAAAAGGAGTTCCTTCTTTTTAACTCTGTAAATGAATGAGAAAAATAAGGTAAATGTAAAAAGAGTGTTACAACGTTTATGTCTACAGAATGCGCTAAATTTGTGCTTGAATGTGTATTTGCATTTTGTTAGTGGTATAAATTGTTTAATTGTAACAGTAAGAGTATTTCAAATCAATCTTACCTTCTCCAAAGTACGTTCATAAGTGCGAACACTCTCAATGAGCGAAATGGCAAACGGATACAGCTGGTTCGCTTGGTGAGCTTTGTTCACGATTGCTAGAGGTACTCTAAAATAATAAAAAATAGATATTATAAGCTATTATCCTGTCGAGGAGTCTGGTTTACGACCCCAAAACCATAAAAGGCGTAGCGAGCGCCTGACGAGGCGAATTGCTGCTCATTCGTCACGTCAACATCGTAGCGAGACTGTGCAAATACCATTTTTTTAATGAGAAACCCATTAATTTACTTTATATATTCGTATTAGTTATTGTTTTTCCTAAAATTTGGTTATTTGTTGTGATTATCGTGTGTACATATTATACTCAAGTGCGAGAGATTTGTTTCATGTTTATAAAATTTGTGTTATTGATGTTTTCTATGAGTATTAATTTTAAAATAATTAAAAATGTTATAAACTAAACGTCCGTTTTCTGTTTAACATGTGAAGAGTACGATTATTACAATACCTACTTTAAGTATCGATGTCCTAAAATAAATATTTAAATACAACACTTTAACAAGGTTACGGCAGAATCATAGAGGACGTGGGTTCCCCGCAACCGCTGAGTCATAAACCGTTTTGTCTTGTTTATTAACACCGTCTTTAATTTTATTATAAAATGTATCACTGTTTTCAAGACAAATAAATGAGTTTATTATTATGTATTATTATTTCAAAACGGAAGTAAAAGAAACCTCTTTTCCTTTGATATTATGTAAGTAAAATTCCACAGTGAAAATCGAATTATATTTAAGTATGTATTTAAAGTCATACCTGAAACCCAAGTTCTTTAAATTGCGCACTTCCTTATACAAAGTGATAATTTCAGGCAAAAAGTTCACTTTGAGCTTCAGGATGGTACCAGTCTTGCTAGAGCGAGCACGCACGGACTCTATAGCGAAGATACGTCCAGAAACACCGAGGTTACGTTGTTGCACCTAAGGAACAATAACAAATATTTAAACTTGAGATCAAATCTTTTGTTCAAAATATGCATTAATGCCAATTATTACAATCATATTACAGACCATTTCAAGATCTTTATGCCCATTGTAGAATGTACAATATACTTACTTTACGAGCCCAGTCATCGAAGACTTCCTGAGTGTCGAGTTTCAGGCGGAAGCTGTCGCCATCTGCCTTCAGTTTTTGACCCTCAATATGGTTCTCCCATCCCTTGCCTGATGAAATAAAAATAGTTATGTGCTAATGGTGCTGAAGATTTTAATACCTGCTCGGCACCTAATAGAGGACATCGATCAGTTTATATAATGGATTTACTCAGCCGACCATTCATTGAGTGATGACTGATTCTTTGCTAGATGACGTCGTAAAGTTATAAAATTTCATAATATACATTTTCAAAGAAGGAATGACTGACATTACATTCGAATAATCTTACCAAGAACATCCTCGACTCTCTTCAAGTAAGCAGTAAGTTGGTGATCAATCTGCTTAGCCCAGATAATGGACCCCGCAACAGGCGGGAGATCTCGCACTAGGGACAGTCGACTGCATTTCGATTGGGGGTATTGAACCTATACATAAAAATATGACTAGTATTGAGTTCCTCTTATCACCTCTGTTGAAATGGACATGTATTTTATTTAAATGAAGTTTATTTTACTAACCAACGTATGATGATATCATATCAACTAAAGTTATAATATTATGTTAAAATAACACTAGTATAAGTACGTAACTAACAAATATTATGTATTGTGTGTGAAATAAATTATTATTATTCTTGAACAGCAATACAACTTTGTATGATTCTTCTGTTACGTTTAAAATGTTCATGCCAACATAGTCTGGCACTTTGTAAAGAAAAAAATTATTGCTAAAAATCGTAGATGGAAAGTTTTGAATAAAGAAGATCCTCAACTTTTATATCACCAGATTTTAAGTAGCAGTAGAGCTCCTTGTGAAAGAGTTCGTCCAGGTGGGTACTGCCACCTCACCTATTTCTGCCGCTAAGCAGTAATGTCAGCATTACTGTGTTCTGGTTTTGAAGGGTAAGGGTGCTGGTGAAATTACAGGCACATGGGACTTGTCAACTTATGTCTCAAGGTGTTGGGCGCAGTGGCAGTGCCCCTAAGATCTTTGCGATTTAAAGCTCTGAGGTGGCACTGCAACTGTTAAGGACAGGCGTGTAGCGTACCATCAGGCGCACGACTTGTTCGTCCCAAACTTGATATTATAAAAAAAGATAGAATTTGCGTATTTTGTAAGACTATGACAAAGGAATAAAATAGGAATAAGAGGAGAAACCCTAATTTACCTTGAATTTCTCATGTAAAGCCTCAATATCATCCTTAACCCGCTGTATAAGCTGAGTTTGGTACTCCCGAATAGCGCCACGAATGTGTGGTCGGACAAACAGAGCGTTGAAGCGTGAGAAGATCCTAAACATCTCATTCGCGTTCTTCGCTGTGCCCAGCTGGTCACGGAGGTGGGCCGTGATACGGGTTTCTACGCGATCTGTTTATTTAACGAGAAGTTGAAGAAAAAAAAATCGTTTAATTTCAAGATTGGCAACAAAGTTAATTCAGTGTGAAGTAGCCGAACACTGAACAGCGAATGAAACCAAATAGATCACCAAGCGAGAGCTGGAGTGCGCATCGTAATTTAGAAATTTTGTATTTTTATTTGTTTTTACCCTCAACTTAGTGTAGGAAGTGGCCGCACGTATACGTTACTACTAGTACCAATATCATGCTAATCTCTTCGGACGAAGCGCTTCGTATAATTATGATCGAACTTCACTTGCAGGTAAGTTCGTTTAATCACTAATTAGTTAATTAGTGGATTTTTTGTGTTCATTACTGGAGAATTAGAGAAATTCTTTTTTAGTAATAATTATAATAGCTTTTTTATAAAACATACTACAGCATAATATTTCTTGAGGAAATGTGTCAAGTAAACTAATCACCATTGATATATTATAATGTTTAAAACAACAAGCAAGTTATTTAAAATTTCACACACACTTCCCTTAAAATGTCGATCACTGAACCATCGCCCCACACATATCCTATGCAGGTTAATGGGCTTCTTATTAGGTTTTTCTCAAAACAGTAGACTAATAACCAATGATCGGTGTTGAGGGAGTTAATCTACCTAAAGTATGAACGTTTTCTTAGTATGGACATTGCCATTTCCTCGTCAATGCGTATAAAATGTCTTTTTTAACTGTTTATTTTCTAAACGTTCCGAAATATAGGTTGTCTCAAATGTTTAAATACGTAAGTTCCCGTAGAAACACAATTACAATGTTATTTTTTGAGACAATAATTTGTAGCAAATGCTTAATAGGAAATAATAATTAGTCGCCAATGTGTTAAATTTTTCTACAAATAATAGGCATATTCAAATATAATCAGTTTCGAGAAGTCCCGGGATTTGTAGAAGGGAATGTCCAGGTTATTCTTTAGTTTATCTAACTTTACTTCCTCAATTCTAGTCAACGGAATTAAGATAAAAAGGTTTCTCACCAATTCGGTCCTCATAGCGACGAACAGCCGCCTCCCAAGCGTCGCAACCCTCACGTGAGATATCCAGGCAATCTACTTCTTTCACATTTTCATATGCCAAGTTGACCTGTACAAGTAATTAAATTGAGTATTGAAATTGACATGAATAAATCATTTACGGTGCACCTAACTCCAACAGATTGAGGAAGCGCTTAAAAAACGCCAAGTCAAAACTATTCATAACAAACAAGCGCATATTTAAAAATTCATACGACTTGAGGAAGCGTGTGTCAGGAACACAGAAAGTCTGTAGTCTCTGCCTATCCCACTGGGAGAAGAGAATGCCCCGCTGTGCATTAGATTTTTTCTACTGACAAGTGTCCCTAGCTATGAGATTGTGTGATGCACCTCAGCGATAGCGTTGGCATCGGCGGCGTCCATAGGCAGCGAGTGAGGTTGGGCTGGTTCACCTCCTGCACCGGGGTCTGCAGCCACAGTCGCACGCGGACGGAGCACCTGGGTTGGTACGTATATATGGTATGAGTTAAAAATATATACAGACTGAAATGACTACTACTTTTTTGTTTGTCGGTACGGCCTCTCTCGAGTGGCAATGGTGCCGATCAGCCGTTGTCGGCTATACAAGGACGCGACCGGAATTTCGTAGGAGGCAGATTCGTTGTCGGCTATATAAGGACGCGACCGGAATTATGTAGGAGGCAGATTCGTTGCCGACCTGTGTAGAACCGCGTTGTACGAACCGATGCAAAAAGCACGTCTTTTTAATTCTTATTAAATAGACAAAGCTTTTTTGACCAGTTTAATGCGATTCCATGTCGATATATGTGATGACATCCTAATATAATTGTGATACAGGTCTTTAGTTAATTTATTCGTATTGTAAGTAAGCTTACCCGAAGCATAACAGTTCTTAGTTGTTCGTGGTGACGTCTGAACCGCCGCATATGTTCCATGCGCGCTTGCAGCCGCTTGTGTGATGGCGACACACGCCACACCATTTTTAGATGTTCGTCGCGCTTCTTCTTTACGATGTCACTTAAAAAAAAAACTAATTAAACACCCGATGCCGAAAGCCGAAGTCGGGTAAAAATTCTAATAAAAAACTAATAACTCAACAGGACTGCTAATCTCCAAACTACAGACCGTAACTGTGAAAAATTCGAAATTCCGTTTTATATGTAGATGGCGCTGATCGGTGGCTTGGAAGTAGTTTGTATTATGTAAATGGCCGTGGATATTAATTAATTCATGTTTAATATGAAATATAAGTAGTCAGTTTTTTCTTTTAACGACAAAAATTACTTTGACGATGAGATGGCATTGTGTGTTTTATAAATTAACGCTTGATAGTGTGGGTAGATGGTGCTAATCCTGAACAAAATAAAAGAGTAGTATCCATAAAAATCCGTGTAATAAGCGTCATCTAATTGATTTGTTTGCTATCACTAGAAAATAGTGTAGCTTTAACGAAATGAAATAAAAAAACAGTTTATTTCTACCATCACAAACTACAAAATTCTTGTTACATATATTATATTAACAAAATGTATGTCTGGTGTGTGTGCGTGCGAGCGTGCGTGCGTGTGTTTTTGCTTGCCCGGACGCGAGAGTTTTTAGGTAGTAGATATTTTATAACTATGTTAATTTTTCAAGTATTCTTTCGGTTTCGTCATAATTCTGTACCTTAAGCCATTTGGTTATTTTATTTTTGCTTATGTTTTTATATGAATTTACTATATTTAATTTTTTATTTATAAAATTGTACAATCTCCCAGTCCTAAATGATAGAACCTCGACGCAAAGTACTAACCATAGTTGTCTTACATGCTGCATAGGGTCTTCTAGCTGTGGATACTCTAATATAATTATCAATATGTATATTGGAGTGTTGTCGAAGTACAGAGTGCAGAATATAAATTTGACGAACAGAGAGAACATCAGCATCTTGATAAAATTGCATCGTAGGAAATCTTCGCGGCTTAAACAAACATACTCTGTGCTCTATCTAATTCCATCATCGCAGACTTAGTGGCTCCACTCTTCTACAGCCTGTGGGCTAATGAAGGATTGTTTGGCTCCCATGTCGATAAGGAATTTCAGTGGGGGACATCGAGTATATAACCAGAAATAGAGACGAAATAAGGGTCATATATTCCTGGTAACACATTAGTGATATAGCTCTTATAAATATCAATTCTCGTTTGCACTGAAATATAGACAGGCCAACTACTGACCTGTGTGTACGTCTCAGTATATTCCAAAAAACATTCTGAATTTATTGTAATAAAGATAATATCTCTAACAATGCCGTGCTGTTCTATTCGGTGGTGTGGGAAAAACAGCAAAACATCTAATTACAAAACAAACGGAATCACATTTCATCGGTAATTAAATATTAAATATATAATTTTGCAATTTTCGTCCATTATAGCAAAGCTCAAGTTAACTGTTCGATTTGAAGTGAAACTATAAGTTTGTTGCGGTTGATATCTATTATGCATCCTAAAAACATTGCTCTGCGGGGTGTAATTTGGTGGAGGGGCCCGGAACATTTGCTGAGTACGAGTTGGGCCACGGGGAGGCTGATTATGTTGCCAATTTGGCTGCCATGCTTGATTAAGTTGAGGTTGCATGAATTGCGGCTTGGACGGGCCAGGTGTATTCATTATTGGATGTCTGGATGGGCCAGTCATGTTGAAAATAGGCAGTTTTTGACTGAAGTTATGTAGAGGCAAATTAAAATTATTTTAAGAAGTCTGAGGTGGATGTTCTTTTCTACTAGGCACTTCATTACGTTGTTGCATATAAAGTGTGTTAAGTTCCTCCTGCACAAACTCTAAAGCCTGTTCTACGGTCGCGGGGCGCATGCATCTAACCCTACATCCTAACGGGTCCTTCAAGCCGCGTAGATATGCCTGTAACGTCAGTTTTTTATAGAGAGTGCGCTTGGCTTCAATTGTAGTGTCTACGCTTTCGTGGAGGCTGACATATGTCATTATGGTACTGTATAAATTTTTTGGCACCGTTTATAGAACTCCTGTGGGCTATTCGACTCTTGGGTCTGCATAGATAAATCATTATATAATGCAGTTATAATGGTCAGCGAAATTATTTATTAAAGCATTTCGTAAACCATTCCAACTTTCCGGAAGACTGTTATGCAATACGATATGATAGATTGCGCCAGTGCCAGATATATAATTCTCATAAGTCTGCCATCAGCAATATAACGAAGCTGCTTGAAGATGTAAATCAATTTCCTTAGTCTCCGTGCACCCTCGCGAATATTGAATCTGAGGTTGTTGTCAAATATAATACCAAGATATTTTATATTTTGGGTTCAAGTAATAACCTAATCTCCGGTTAAAAAAGCCGACCTCAAAAGTCATTCATTCCCTAGTTTACCACCCTCAGAGGTGGAATATTTTCTTCAAATTGAAATGGGACCACTTCTGAGGTACCTTCTATCCAACAAAAAAAAATCATCAATATCGGTTCACAAATAGCGGAGTTATCACGTAACATATATACAAAAAAAACATATGGACGAATTTAGAGCCTCCCCTTTTTTTGAAGTCGGTTAATAAGAGGACAGTCACACATTCAGTTGAAGGATTTGAACATTTATGCGCTATTAATGACACATGGATAGGCAAAGAAACAGCGTATTTTATTGTAAATACAACTTACTTAGTTTTTTCCACACTTAATGTTAAGCAGTTTCGAAAACTTTAGAAAGTGTCGTAAGAATAGAAATTGGTCTGTAATTGTTGACAAATTGTACTTCGTCAATTATTTACAAATTAGTCACAAAAACAGCTATTTGGCACTCATCGCAACATCTGGTGTACCAATATGTACTAAAAAGCTGACTACTTTGTCTTGTACCGCGATTAGCAGTCCGCTCGAATTATCGGTCCATCATTATAAAGAGGAATGGATATAATATAGAAAAGGAAATAAATATAGATATAGAACATATAGAACAGAATAGAAAAATACATGTTTCTTTTTATATCGCACAGTTTTGTCCTATTAGGTTATCTCTGGGATACTTACCGCAATAGACCTTGAAGTTTCTCATATTCGTCATCCCAGCAAGAGAATACTTCGAAGCATTGCGTCATTACGCGTTCGAAGTCATCAAATGGAATATGCATTAAACGACGCGTACCCAGTACCTGGAAATAAGAAACGGTTAAAGCTTTATCGCACTAAATGCGGCCCACCCGTGGTTTGAGAAGTGCAGGACGAGAACCTGTACCTGTACAGTTACGCATACCTTATTATCTTCTAAACAATAAGGTATATTATATATATAGGTAATTTTTTTATGGTTAACAGGTGTTCGAATACGTGTAATAATACTTTGGGAACAATTACACGTTTTGAACTATTAATGGGCTCTTGTTACACTTTAAGCATAAAAGAAATTTGATACAATGTAAACTACCTTTTTTTATTAATCACCACACACCTTTTTTATAATACCAAATTTCTACGCAAATAAGTAATTTCTTGTATTTGTTATTTTAAGCTATGGCTTCTGTACTTCCAAGTTCTATGTATCACTACAAGTACTAATATAATAGAACAATATAAATAGGGTAAGCAATGTAAGTAACATAAGTTTACCTTGAGAAGTTGTTGTCCCAAATCGCGAGAGATCGCCTCAACTAGACGCAAACCACGCTGGATGGGGTACTTGGTCGATCGGATCTTGCGCAGGTGCGAGAAAATTTGCTGTACTGCCAACCTGCAAAATTAAGTTTTGAATTAGCGAATCAAATTTGACAAATTCGAAATATGTGTTATTCAAAAGGCAGATTTTAAATTATGGTAATGTGTCTATAAAAATAATAATACGTTTTGTTTGACATCACAAGTATAAACTGCTGTTTATATATGACAAAATTTCTAGAAAGAAGCTTATTCTAAATTGACATTATGTTTTAACATTTATATGCATTGCGAACTCGATGTTATGCTTGAAAGCATTGTGTATGGTTACAGTTGGTCCCACACTAGGTACAGTCTGTCCTGTGGCAACCGTTAAATCTAATTAGACACTCGTTATGTTGCGCTAATTAAGAAAAAAATAATAGGGCGCATCAGTGCGAATTTAATGCGCTTTCAAAAAAGACATTTATGGATTTCCTAGTTATGTTCCAATTGTTCAGCAGTGTAAATTCAAGCATCATTGTTGTTATATCACAATTCCTAAAAAATGTACTCAAAATATTTGCTACAGCCTTACCTAATTCTATCAAGCTCAGTAGCACTCAGCAGATCATTGATGGGGAAGTCCTTCATAAGTGGGTTGTAATCTGACACTGTTGCTAAGGCCTGTTTCAGACCAGTGTCTGTATCGAAGGATACAGTCGCGTGAAAACGCTTACCGTATTTCAAGATGTCTAACGTTAGGGATACCTACGAAAAATAAAAATATTAGAATGAGCAATGAGCTTTGTTCATTTAGAAAAGAAAAAAAATCCAATGTTGATTTATTGAACAGGAACCTATCTAATTCGAGATTAACATGCATTAATTTAATGTCCTAAATTTACGAATCCCATACTTAAATCGCTCTTAGTGTATAATAGATATTAAAGCATTCCAAATTTTTTATTTTATTTTATGTATTTTCTTGTTACCTCAATGCTTTCTCTTTTTTCTTGAATGCGATGAAGAGCTCTTTCCAAATTTAGCCAGAAAGAGATCTCTTGCAAAGCTGTACCATTTGACGGGTCTCTGTCAAGTTTTGTTACCTACGAATAAATAAATTTGTTATTAGATCAATCATATAACAGTGCAGACTTAATAATCAATTTTGGTATATTGTTTTAAGTGTGTTACAATTTTAAAACGTATAGTCGGTAATTTCTGGATTAGAAAAAAACCTTACATATGCTATGCTACAGTATGTATATAATAACAAACACAATACTTTTTGAATTTCCTTGATCCAGCGGTTCACACCATTCTGCAGTTGATTGAGAAAGTTAGAATCTTCAGCCTTGTCTCCGAAGTCGGCCACGCGAGGCTTACGCCCTTCGTCTGCAGCCCTATTGGAATATTAAAGCGAGATCTAGGTTAGATTAATATTGTTTCAACTTACATAATGATCTTCACAAAGATTTGTCATTCATACCATAGTTATTCCAAATTTTTAAGTTCAAACTAAATTGTTCACTATTTTTGAGAATTAATAAATTTACAATATAGGTATATATATATATATATATATATATATATATTAATTCTATGTTATTGGATAAC